TTGTTGATGAATTACAATTAAGTTACGCATTAAATTTTTAATTGTCTTATAATATTTATATCAGAAAGGTGATTGAAATTAATCAACTATGACTTTTTATATGAAATTACAGATGAACGTATATAGAAAAGTCAATTATTAAAATTGCGTTCTGTTAAATCTATTTCATCAGTATTTGAATTTAGTAGCGTGACATTTTCAATTTATTCTTACATAAAAAAAACACTCCTCTTCATTTTTCTCATGTGTATTCATTGATCATTATTTGAGATTTGATATTTAAATATATTAGATTCAATGAAATTAATGATGAAAGCTCGAAAGAATACTCCCAGAATAAAATCGAGCAACTCTAAAGATAATGCTAAAAGACATTGTAAAATAAATTCTAATGTCGAATAGACTCTTTTCGAAGAATATTCCTATGAAGATCAAAGATGAAAGTTTTAGAATAGAGTAAAGATTTGCATAGAAAATAGAAATTACTTTACAATATAAGATAATTCATAAAGGAAAACTTATTGGTCGGTAAAAAATTCAAGAATATGTACTGAGATTTGTTGAATACTAATCAGAAGACAAATAGTTTAGTGGATAATTAGAAAAAAGATATATCAAAGATGTATTCGATGTAAAAAAAACAGATAATTTTCAAGATAAATATATCTATAGGCATGATTAAGTTATGAAAAGATTTTAATTCTTTCATCATACTTTAGGCATAATTATAAGGTAAGAAATTATTGGATATGAAATTTACTTAAAAGATCTCTATCAATTCTACATCATGAAATGAAGAACAATTTGAACAAAAATATACCGAATACTGTATACAGAAACCTGCCGTATGATCCGATATAGATAAATGAAATAAAACTGCATGTTTCATTAAGAAGTTAAATAATATAAGCGATGCATATTTTATTGTTAGAAAAATCATTTTAATATATTTTAGTCGAATCACACCTATTAATAAAGATCTTGCTCCAAATCTACGCCGTCTGAAAATAAAATGTTTGAATTCATTCATTAGTATGAAATCAATTAATAAATTATTTGAGCGTGATGTTTTATTTTCATTGACGAGCTTCACATTATTAGCGAAGATAGATGGTTCTCATGTTCTTCGGAATTTACTATCGATGCTTTCCAATCAATGTTTATATTCGTTTGATGTTAAATGGTTTGCGAGAACTGAAATGCCACCACCAAATACAAACAAAATCTTATCCAATGTATTTCAAAAGCTTAAAGGATCAGTACCAATTGAATTAGAAGTATCGTTACAAGAACACACGATATATTCTATTAGAGCTGTAACAATACCAAGAATGGATAAATCTTTATATGTCGATTCGTATCTAAATAAAAATACTGTGCATGAGTATAAGCAGACAGTTTTTTTTGTTTTTATAACAAACATTTTTTTTTTGAATTTAGACAAAGTCGGTGGCCGTATAATAGATGTGTCTTCAACAGTCAATTGTTTCATTGCAATGAGATTATTATGGATAAGGATTATCGGATCAACGACGAATTTCTTTCTTTATTACCACCTATCGTTCCTTGGCGTCAAGTTACATCGCTTAGTATTGCTCATCCATTCAATTCAACTCATCTTTACCTTCTCTTTTCGCAAGCGATTAATCTACGTACTCTAGAACTACATCATAGAAGAGAAACTGAGTATACATGTGATTCGAAAAGGGAAAATTTAATTCATCTCTTTAACGATGCTTCTTTGTGTAATATACTCATGTCAAATGGCTTACGACAACTTAATCTTTTTTTCGCTATACATCAATCAAATTTGGTAAAAATTGCCTATTTAATCATCGAAAGACTACCTCATTTGCAAGTCATAAAACTAGATGGTCTTAACGATCATTTGATTGAAATGTCACATATGTTTATCAATCGTCTCGAGAAATTAAATTTTCTCAGTATTACTGGTGGTATTGAAGATGGTAAAATTTATGAAAAGACATTGCGTAATTTGCAAACTTCAAATAGTCGTTCTTTTTGAACGGAAGTTCCTAAGACGACAGATGAAGAGATACTTTTCATATGGGTATAATAACATGAAATTGCGAATATTTCTTTGCTTTGTTCTATTAAACCTTTTTTTTGGGGGGAAAAGAAGTGTAAAAATTTTTACATACGAATAAAATGACCTTTTGTTTCGATATTAAGTTAGAAATAATCTATCAATGGTAGTAATATTAGCAATAAGTTCTTCTATAATTTGACATATATAATAAATAGATTTTCAATGAAAATCTTACGGATTAAATCTCGTCATTGACCACCTGCTAATTCAACATAAATTATATATAACCAACACATTAGATGGTTTGACAATGATTTAGCTGTTTCGGTATCAGAACTTCGCGGAACGTGGGACGATGTTTTTCGAAAAATGGCAGGACGAGATGGGACGGAATTGAGCAGTTGTGGATGCGGGACAAGACACAGTAACTTTTTTCTGGTCCTGCAGAATCCTTTTAAGAGAGGTTTTATCGACAACACTTTGTCACATAACCGTTTAATGAAAGAAAAAGGTCACACTAAGTGATAGAGATAAAGAATGGTGAATAAAAGTAATGAAATTCTTTAAGGTAGATCAATTAAGAGATGCTCAGTTATTTTTAAATGTAATACTCATTAGGGAAATGTTTTGAGTAATAGCAGAGCCAAAGTTTTCCCATCAATAGCCATATTTGTGTAGGAAACTCTGTTATTTTTACAATTCGATTCAATATTGCACTCTTATCAGTTTAAGATTTACTACGTCAACCTATTTGAAAATTCGATCTTGTATAGTTTGCAATAATTCTATTGCTTTTGGATAAACTGTAAAAGGTGACATGATTTCAAAAGGGGTTTTATTAATAAAAATAGTCTTTTGTGTATTTGATAGGTGATTTGAGATGAATAAATATCATTTTTCATCAGATTTCTTTATAAACAAAAATTTATTGATTAAAATAGATTGAACTGAATTAAGTGATAACAAAGTTCTCATATTTTTGTGATTTCTTCATCGCTATTCCTGTCTTCATGAGTATTAATCATTGTCTTATTATTTAAGAGAGGGTCCATGAGAAAATTGACCAAATATATCAGATATTGGCATTTGAAAATTTTTTTTTGTTTTGAAATGAGTTAGACCATTCGAAAGAGCATGGAAAGTTAGGCTTAGAACCAAATTTTAGCTCTTTATGAAAACTCCATCATGAGATATGAAGGTATCTTTGAAACCACCCTCGGATCTTATTTTAAAAATTTTGGAAAATTAGATTGTGTGTTATGGATTGTTTTAAAGACTATCACACCCTACAAGCATTTTAATTCATGTACTTTGTGATATTTTTTGCGAAATAAACGTTAGTTTGAATTTATAAAAATTTTTATTATATAAAATAATCCGGTACTCAAAGGGTTAACTTATGCTCTATCTATGGATTAGAGGAGAACGAACTAATAGAAAAAGGCGATTTTTTTTCTCCGAGGGAGAATAGAGTGAATACTAAAATGAAGCGAAACAGAATTAACATGTGTCGTTGACAATGCTATGGCAAAGGCACACTTTTTGAGACCTGTGGAGTGTCAGTGTGGATGTGAATGTAGATCACGCTGAGAGTAATATCCACTCACGCATCCAC